CACCACTCGAAAAAAAAACATCGAGGGATGGAGCTATTTCCGTACAGCTGTACCAAGATAACTTCATTTGTAATCGAAGTGTACACAACTTAGGCACGTAACCTAGTAGGGTAGGCAGACATTATAGATTTCTATTTGGCGCAATCCTGGCCCTCCTCTCGTCTATTACACATACTTGTAATACCGACTCTCGAGACATAATTCATCTTCTACTGCGGTAACTAATAAAACACAATCAATTTATAGTTACGTGTTTCTATTGGCTTTGATCTGTGTACTAAATCACAGATTTTGATTTGCAAACAAAGATTAGAACCGGTAATTACTAATAATAATGATACTATGACGTAGAAATGCGTACAATTTGGAGTAATTTAGGATTTTAATCGATAAACACATTAACGAAACCTTGACATCGTATTTTTAAACGAAAATTACATTTGTGACCACATTTTTGCATTGCCTCAAAATGTTGGAATCTCACACTCATCTGCTTGTTCCGCAAGAAATTGCAATGGAACCTTATTGAAGCAAGATAACTGATCATTGTCAAGTCAGAAACGTGGCTCTAATTTATCAAGTAGATTCAAGGTCATTCGAGGGGAACAAAGAGGGCAATGCACCGTGTACGAGATCCAATCAAGAACTATTTGATGACTGGCGTTATCGAGACGATCAACATTCCATAAATCTTACCTTTAGTTACCCACTGGCAAAAAAAAACAAAAACAATTTTCTGTCCCTCTCATTCTCTTTGTAAAACTAAAGAAAACAATATGTTGCCAGTGTTTCGACGATGAAAACTCACGATTAGATTACTTACTAACTTATTGTTTATAGATATTTTTCTGTCCTCTTTTCCAAGCTTAACGCAGCAGTAATACTTTTGTGAATAAAACCTAAGCGGTTAAATCGTCAGGACCTAGATGCTAGACTAGGTCACTCTTTATACGATAGCTGTGCCGTATATTGCAAACTGAAGCCAATATATTTATTGTTATTGCAAACAACGATATACTTTTTTTATATTTTTTTAGGATCGCGAGTGAGTATAAAATTGCAGAGGTATTATTATTAGTCCTTTTTGTTAATACATTTTTTACTAATTCATAGTACAGCGTGCAAGTTTACCCCATGCCTCTCATAGCCCTTACATAGTTTAATAACATTATCGTACTAATATTATATATATTAGTACGATAAGATGGATAGATGGATGTTTGTTTGAAGGTATCTTCGGAACGGCTAAACGGATCTCGATGAAATTTGGCATAGATGTACAGTACAGTCTGGAAGAACACATATGCTACTTATTAAGTTTTTTTTTAAAATTCTGTGCGGACGGAGTCGCGGGCGAGAGGTATTATTTTTGACAAGTAGTGGTCTTGGCAGTAAAAGTAGTCAATCTCAAGTCCCTACTAAAGTTGAGTCTATAATTATCATTATTTTTGATATCATTTAAAACTTGTTATAAACACCAATACGTTGCATATTGGTCAGTATAAAAAGAGGCTTGGTATGTGGGTCGTAGCGCGTGCTCGACTTGAATACGGCACGTCATTGTTGCTAGGTCTAGGCAACACGCTATAGGACGTAGTTATATTGACCGAAGTACATTCGTTATTTTTTTATTTCTTCAAAGGCAATATGATTGCTATAGATACCGACACCAATAAGGCTTAAAGACGCTGTCAAATTTTACCAAATTTATAATATTTAGTATAAATGTAAAATAATATGTTATCTTGTCCGTTTTCTAAACCATTTTGCTAAATCTTGTACAGTCAGCTGCAAAAATACGTATACATTTAGAAAACATTAGAAACGTGTGCAGACCTTCGGTTTTCAAAATACGTATGCGCGTATTTGTCATTAGCTTGTATGCACGATCACATATACATTTTTGAAACCAAAAGCGCATACAAGTTTCTGGAGTTATATACACAAACATATTTATGCAGCTGACTGTACATGAAAAGGACAGATAACTGAACGGAACTAAAACGTTAAACGGAAATAGAACTTTTCCAAACCGGATCAATATGTAGAGTTATTCTTACTATAGAGCAAAACATATTAGATAATACTAGAGATAAAAATCTAGATTAACTTAACTCCCATAACATTGTTATTATGAACATCGTAGTTTAATTTGTCAAGATTACATTACTAAGGTATTTGTTTGCGTTCTGAGAAAATTCAGTCTCAATATTGACAGGGGAGAAATGACATCTATTGTTAAAAAACCGGTAACTAATGTTAAGAACAAAATCCGTGTACCGGTCTACCGGCGCAACACTAGCGTTATTAAAATGTCAACGTTTATGTCCCCTCACTAATCATTCTGATATTTGACTTTGTAACAAAAGCGCGCCATTCGCGCCAAAGGATTCTAACTAATAATCTACTCATGGGAATCAAATCTTCTGCCAATAAATTAAAATCAGAACCGAAAGTCACATAAAACATGTCCCAACACTAGTTTTATACTTCATAACCGTTAACAATCATCTAAATTTAAAACACATTTTATGTAAATGTTTCATCAGTGTAAACTCGCAATTATACAATCACGTTAAGCCATAACAAGAGCGTCACGGTATTGTACTCGTACATGGCGAGACGTGTCCCGCAAGACGTAACCAGAGCGTGGCTACCGTAATTCATTGTACCGAGCCATGTTCCAGAACCTAGACTTTATAATGTCAACATGGATAATGTGAATACACCTTTATAATCTCTAGTTAATGAACTTTAACAGTGGTAGAGCCCACTTTAACATCTTCGCATGAATTGGCCCGGCTCGCCCGGTGAAATACCACGACCACACAGAATACAGGCGTCAAGGGGAAGCTATTCCGCGTTTCGTCTGTTGAATGTGCGCCTCGGAGGCCTAATTTAGTCCTCTTTCCCTTCCCACCCGTTTTCTTATAAGGAAAGGATGGGAAGTGGAAGTGGACTTTCCGGATAAGAGGACGAATGGAAAGGGAGATATTTTCTTTCTGTGCATCCTCTCCTCCGTCGATTAAACGTAGGCAACGCATATGCAATTGCGTACGTCTATAGGTAACAGTCACTTTGCTATTTTAGCGATTTCAGGTGGCAGCCCGCTCGTTTGCCACTTTATGATATTAAAAATTATGTGCTATGTGCTACTCTAGCGACCTCTATAACTTAAGCATTCCTCTAATGTACATTTTTCTTACTAAATTACCATTTTACAACTTTGGTTGTTAATATGTTTAAATGCACTATATTATATCAAATTATCTCTTATTATGTCCAGTTGTGTATTATGTAAATATCTCGTCTCATCGATTATAGGTGGATATGTATGTTTGTTTCCATTGTCACAGATATAGGCTACGTTACCGTGTCGTGAGTCAATGTTAACTTTTATTGATAGTCTTCCCAATAGGTTCAACATTAAATGTATTGGTTATGCATAATACGTTAGGAATGTAAAACACCGTGGGTGCATTGCATCGGTCTAATCTCTAAAAACATTGATTACAATGTTATATTTACAGATGTTTCATCAATGGAAACCCACGTTCAAAGTATGGAAATGTATGAGATACTAGCTATCGCCCGCGATTCTATCCGCGCGGAATAAAAAAAACTTTATTTGTAGCCCATGTGTTCTTCCAGTTCATGGTCTATATCTATGTCAAGTTTTAGTGACATCGATGCAGCCATTCTGGAGATACCTTCTAACAAACATCCATCCATTTGTCCAAATATATTTGCTTCTATACTAATATTATAAAGCGGAAGAGTTTGTTTAAACGTGCTAATCTCAGGAACTACTGGTCTGATTTGAAAAAAAACTTTTTTTATTGAATAGTCCATTTATAGAGGAAGGATTCAGGCTATATAACATCACGCTGCGACCAATAGGAGCGAAGAAAAATGCAAACAAAAGATAATCGCGATAGTGTATCCGACAACCACGCGAACTGTTATATAGACTCCCTCTTCTAACTTTTTGCTATATGTACACAAAATCTTGATGACTACACATTAGATAAAGCTCATTGTAATTATAATTAAAACTGGCGAGCAGTCTCACTCCAGCCTTCAGAAGGGAAGGTTGCTTTTCCTTTATTAAATCATTACTGTCGTTTGTGAAACTTTGCTAAATCTCTATAATTAAAAGTTAGTAAAAAGGGTTTTCTTTTTTTAAAAAACCCGAATTCATCACTCCGTACAACAGAACGAAGTCGCGGGCACAGCTAGTTTATAATATTAGTAAGATTATCACTTGCCTTTACTGTATATTATATTAAAATACAGGTTACAATAGCGACAGATTTATAAGTAAACAGAGACTTAGTACCCAACATGTTTTCTAGTTTCAATTTTTTTTTATTAAATGCATTCATAAAAATAGAACTAGTAAAAATTCCATTGCCAAAAACTTCCGGCTATAAACAAAGTATAAGAACGGCTACGAGTCAAGCGGTGGGGTCATTGACCTTTTGACCCGATTCCACCCCAACTGAAATGCGGGACTTGATCTTACGTCACGCGTCGCGATTCCACTGCCGTAACAAGTTGTACAACATTCAACTTATGCTTGCATATACCACAATAGCTAACCAATGGCACACGACACGAAATTTTTATCACTATATGATCAAAAAAAATATTTTAGCGCGCGACAACATATATTACCTTACTAGCTGTCGCCCGCGATTCCGACCGCGCGGAATTAAAAAAAGAACTTAATTAGTAGCCTATGTGTTCTTCCAGACTATGTTCTACATCTGTACTAAATTTCAGCGCTAGATAACCGTTCTAGGGATACCTTCAAACAGACATACATCCTTCCAAACATTCGCATTTATAATATTATTAAACAAGGTTCATTATCGCTACATACAGATGTTTATTATTGCTTTAATTGTAAGTTAATACTGTCATAAAATGTCTCAAGGTCACAACGTGTTTTGTGTGCATGTTTCGACAATGTGAACGGTATAAACAAGAAGACTGACCTTGTCGCGGGCTGTATCAGTTCTGCGGGTTCATCATCAGCGTCATAAAAGTCATCTTCACCCTCGGACGAGGAGTACGATGTGTCGGGAACTAGGAGGGACATCGCTTGTCCTGCTCAAAAAAGGAAACAGAAAAATAGTATAATATTAAAAACATGATTTGTATATTCCATTTACGACCCCCTATTTTGTCTAAATTCCCCATTCCCGTGTATGTCAAACATACACAATCGTCTTATGACAGTTAAAGCTGTATATATTGAAGTAGTCCGTGTATGGCCTCGTTTATTAATCACCAGTATTACTGCAGATGTCTAACACTTGAGCTGCTGACAAGTATTATGGGACCTTTAAGGCCATAGTTTGTAAAATGTTAAATCTAGACATTCGCAATTGAAGATGCGTTGTCTTTAATCAATAGAGTAGGGGACACAAAAAGTAAATATATTTTTCTTTCCTATGTATCCCATCCTCTGAACCAATTTCCCTTCCCACTATATTATTTAAAAGAAAAGTGTGGGAAGGGAATGGATTAAAATTAAATCTTTGGCACTGTAATCTGGTTATACATACGTGGTGCATCGATGTGTTCAAGTGGAGTCAATGGTAGTGAAGGCGTCGTCAGCTCGCGACACTCCGCGCCCAGCTCCACGCGAGGTGACAAGTCCTCACCTGCATGACATGACATAAAAGAAAATAATTACAGGTCTAGTTTCAATGTTTTAACCAATGAGGATGCGGCAATGTTTAATGTTGCCATTTCTATAATTTTTAAATTCCATATCATAATTATGTATGAATGTATGTAAATAGCAAGGAGTTACGAAATTAGTACGAAATTTTAAAGGTAGGCAACGCATATGCAGTTGCGTATGTCTATGGACAACAGTCACTTCGCTATTTCAGCGATTTCAGGTGGCCGCTCGCTCGTTTGTCACCTTATGTTATAAAAAAAACACGGCTCAGAAATTCTTTTTGATGCTTTTTCAAGAAATTGTTGTTTTTATCATCTGACTTTTTTATTCTTCATTTTTTTATCAAAGCTATGTATTCAAAGAAAATATAAATAATGTCTAAACATGGGTTTCTGAGTCCAATTCCCATTTAAAACATTTATCATCCCTTCTTTGACATGTTTCACATATCAATACGTTTTAAATTAAGATTATGGTCTCAGAAACTCATTATAAGTAAAGTTTGAGTAGTTTATTTACCTTCTTTGATATGCATTTGAGTCGTATTTGTTGGTCCCTGGTAAACTCCGTTCACAGGATTCACCGTATTCTGTTTGTGAAACAAAAATTACCTTTAAATGTATAAAGGAAACGATAGATGTCGCTATCTGAGCAAAATATGTAAAAAAAAACGTAAAAAAATGATTTAATAATATAGAAAGAAAATCTTTACTTCTGTAAAATCTTGGATAACATTCAAAACATAATTTTCCCTAAAAAGCTGTAAAAATATTAATATAAAAATTGTGACTTTAAAAACTTTACCTTAGCTATTTGTAGAAGTACTATGGAATGTTTTATATTGTCCAACATTGCCTGTAAACAAACAATAAAATATCTTAGACTTCAACTATATTGCAACTATCAGAAATTGCCTCAAAATCGTTGATCTTAACAAAATATACAAACAAAAACATATTTTTCTACTATTATTCTATGTGGAAATAGACATTAGTCTTTTGTATTATTGTTTTGACAATGGAAGCCAATTTTAAGTCAAGAATTGAGAGTTAAATCAAATGTATTAAATACTAGCTGCCGCCCGCGAATAATCCCGTGCGGAATTAAAGAAAAACAACATTAGTAGCCTATGTGTTCTTTTAGATTATGTTCTACAACTATGCCAAATTGCATCGAGAGCCGTTGAGCCATTCTGAAGATATCTTTTAATAAACATCCATCCAAACATTCGTTATAATATTAATAAGAAGTAAAATGAAAATTTAACAATCCTATTAATAATTGGCCTAGTTAAACTATACTAATTATCCACAGTACGTGTAGATAAATGTAATGCATCTTTAAATACTTACGTTGGAGTGATCTAAAATTACTTGACCCTTGCTCTTTTCTTGTGGATCCGCGAGTTCTGATACGCGAATGCCCATTTTCTGTGAATTTTTAATTTAATATTAGCCCCACTAATATTACTTCGCAATTATATTTTATTAAAGCATAATTTTACGATCGAATTTGACGAAAATTTAGTTAGACAGACATTGTCAACAAGTTTTACTTAGGGTTTAAAAGATGGCGCTGACTGTTAATTTCAAGGTCGTACAATAGATGGCGCTGATACAAAAAATATTTTCGGCGTATAAAAAGGTTTTACATGTAATGGACATTGTTAATTATCACTTTTATGTAATATTTGCCACAAATTGCTTTCATACAGGTTGTAAGTAAATATAATAAATGGATTTTTAAATAGTTGATAGACCTTTCCTTGTTGAGGTCATTGTCCTGTTATTCTTCAAGTGTGATAACAATGCAATTTGATAAGAGTTTGTCATTCCTTGGCATTATTACTCTAGTAACCGATACGAAGTACGTCATATACCTTATCGAATCATTGTTAATACCGAATCATCGATAATGCATAAATTTATCAATGAATTATTATATGTGCACATAAATTTTCGGCTTTACGTTTACGTTTGGTATTACGGATATTAGGAAGATCACACTCTGCTTCTCATCCTGCAAAAGAGTCTTACCGTAGGTTTCCGACACCGAAATCTCTTTATAAAACCTATTATCATCTGTCATTGTCTTTGGCAAAACATGTTTTAAATAGGGATTTGGATATCAGAAACCCACGGTCACTGGGGTATAAGCGGGTAAATGTGTAGTTACCGTGACTAGTTCAATCATGATTTGCAAGTATGCGTCTGCTTCGGCTACTCGTCGCTCAAGGTCACCGTGCCGGCGTGCTGGTGCGGGCACGCAGCGCGCCCAGCGCTCGCGACGCCCGTGCCTTGCAATTGTTTCCTCCAATGCACGCACCCAACGCTCCCGTTCGCTGCCATCACGCGCCTAAAAACCTTATACATTAGACTGTCTTGGTCTTGAGCAGAAAAATACCAGGACCTCAATAATGATTTTGTAGATTCTATATCCCAATCTTTCCCCTTCCTCTTCTCTGTATCTACAGCACACTCAAGGAAAAATACTATGCCAGTGCTATCTTAACAATATGCTTCTCTTTCATTGTCAATACATTAGCAATCCTTTGAGAAGTAATATTTGGGATATTTATAAAAATCCACTTTCTACTAGAAATTCCGTAAAAGTGTTAAATCTATTATACTAAATCTATTGAAAGATGATGACGTAAAACTGAGTTGCCGCGAATATTTCTAAACTAATGAACTTGAAAAATACAAAGACGAAATATAATCTTGTTCCACTTAATCCAATAAAGGCGAGTCCGCACAAGTCTAGGCTACTTATGTATTTTAACGATGTGTTTCCATTGTTAAACGTCAATTGTAAACCAAAAAGACTATATTTCTCTAAAATCAATTTGAACATAGCAAATTTAAACCGCCCTTTTGTCCTCATTTGCGGAAGCGGACATCCGAGAGAAAGGCGTTGCTTCGAGATGATTCAACTAACGTCGCGTATTGCGCAAATATATGACGTTCCACATACTGCCCATCCCTCACGCAATATAACGTCAACTATTGAATATTATATACTATTCTGTCTCCGGTTAACAACCGATGGGTTTTAAAACCTCGTCTATTGTCCATATCTTATTTACTATTCCTTATATTTGTCAAACCTACACATATGTACGCATATATACATAAAACTTGCAAGTCATGCATTGACACCCCTATTGTTAAATAGAACTAACCGAGTTAAAACCTATTGGTAGTGGTCAGGGCTGCCACAGTCTGAGAAGGCGGTTTAACCCAAGATTATGATGGAGCTGGATCCAAAAGACCTAGCTAGGTGTTGGAGGGTGGCGGTTGTGTCCACCTTTGTTCCCGCAAGGATGGTATGCGAAAGGCATTTCCCCACGATAAAATAAAGGGCTGCTACAGTCCGGAAGTATTCAAATTCGTATGGAGCACCGGCCTAACATCGAGTGCATAGCATCTTCAAACGAGTGTGGCAAACAAGTTAATCAATGTAGTTTTATTTTGACGTCTGCTAATCACAAGTTGACCTGTGGTCGTTTTTTGTCATTACACAACTAACCTGAAAGTGAAACGTCTTGTGGTCAACAGTGATGGTGAATGTGGAATCGTCTTCATCATCAATTCCAATGACTGCCGCCCTCAACCGCACACAGCCTCTTCTCACACCGCGAGTCATTTTTTCTTTTGACTGGAATACAAATAAAACAAATTTAAAAAGCAGCCTTTGCGAACACAGAGAGATTATCGACCATCTTCTATCTTCTAATATATAAAAGAAAGTCGCGTTAGTTACACTATTTATAACTCAAGAACGGCTTTACCGATATGGTTGAAAATTGGTGAGGAGGTAGCTTAGAGCCAGGAGACGGACATAGGATACTATTTATTCTTTTTTTCGAATTTATGCTTTGAAGAGCTGCTTTTTAATTAACTTATCTATATATTAAGTTTTTTATATATCCACACAGACGGAGTCGCGGGCGACAGCTAGTTAAGGATAAATTAGGTGATCCTAAGTATGATCTTTAATTTTATTATTACTTAGAAACATGTAAGTTAAGTAAAAATGGATCGATTATTGGGTGTATTTCCTTTACTTTTGCGCTGTACAGATTGAATAAAATTAGGTATAACGTTCGCATTTAGTGTGGAAATACCTTATACGTTGCCCCGGTCGGCTGTCGACCCCACTGACATACGATATTATAATTTCATATCAGAGCATTCGTGTTTAAACAGGACTTCCACATTATACCTGTGTTTTGTCCCTTTTTATTGGTAAAAGGATAAGCGAGAAAGCAGTTTAGGTGAGGGACCAAGTCAATAGATTTTGTCTTTATTGATTTTCAGTTGTTTTCCCCAATGAAGATTTCAGTCATTTGTTTCGCAAATCCATTATTAATAATTACGAATATTAACAGTGGGTTTCTAAGTCCAAAATCGTCGTTTAAAACATATTGTTATCTTTATTTTTTTTTTCAAAGATGATGACAGGGACGAAGACATATATTAAACAGTGCTTTTAGTCTTTGAAGCAAACGAAAAGATAGTAAATATAAAACATAACTTGTAAGTATGCAAAATTTTTGCTTTATTGCATAATTATGCTTAAATATTTCAGGGTAAACCAAAGTTTTATATTTTAACCTTTTGTGTACCTATGTAAATGGTTCTAATTAAAGATTTCCATACAAAATAAATTTAACACGAGAATGTATTCCGTAAAGGATTGCCATACAAAGCGGTCACTTTTGTGTTGTTTGCTTCCTTGCTACAAGAACAATGGATACGATAGCCACTGCTTACAATACTGTGTTTTACAAAAGAGCAGGTAATTTAATTGCGAGAAAGAATTTTCTTAAACCATATTAAATAATCTTAAATCATTAGTGTTTTTTCAATATATAGTAATAGTGAGTTATTGCATGAACCAATTTAATGTGAATAAAATGTGAACAAAGCTATTTTTAATCCATGTACATAAATACTAATTCCTAGTTCCCTTGGTCACGGCATTACGCGTGACCAAGGGAGCATTTACGCGCGGCTGGATCGATTTTGCTTATTCTTTTTTTAGTTTTTTTTTATAACAGAAGGGGGCAAACGAGCAGCGGGAACAGTTGTGTTTGTTATTGCCAGAAGGTTCTTATTAAGTTAAAAATCGATTAAATTTGTCACAGATATAGAACAGTCTGAAAGGCTTACTAAGGTTGTTTTTTTAATCCCGCGTGCACAAAAGCTAATCAATAATAATATGTCTTAGATTACGAATTATCGTTGAATGAATTAGTAGAAAAACTAGTAAAAGTAAGAAATAAGTTTATTTTTAATAATATCAACTGGCTTTTTCTAGTACAAACAGCAATGTTTAAAAGAATTTCTCTCGAGACGTCACGTAGTGAGGGCGTCAACTGAATTAAAATTGGCCGTTCAAATAGACACTGTCGGTAAACAACTCTAGGGCTTGGTGGAAAGTTAATAATGTTAAATAAATGTAAAGAAAATAGAAATCAACAAAAGGGTAAAATAATATACTTGTAAGTTAGGTCTCAATTTAATCTGGACTCTCTCTTTTCTATTATCATTATACAAGAACGTTTGGTCTCTACTACTGGTTTCGTCTATTTTAAGTTAAATTTCTTACCGTTTCTGAAACCATAATATTATAAAACAAATCACCATCCCTCTCATTATCTTTGACAAAAACAGTGATATTTTTTATTGTATGATTGGTCTCAGAAACCAACAGTTAGTTACATACGTTTCCCAAACGAGCCGTCTCATTCATACAATAACAAGACTGCGTATATTATTAAACATTTCTTGTTTATATTAACTGAGGACTTACGAGCAGTAAAATGAAGAATATGTTTGATCAATTATCCGTTAGTTTGGGATATTTTCAGCTATAAAAATAATTTTCGTCCGAGTAAACACACAACCCCTAACTTAGGGTAGGCTCCGAGCCCCTCAGTAGGGTCGAATAGCTGATGATGAAACACAACAAAATTTTAACCCTAATTTAGGCTCCAATCCATCGGGGATATATGAGCTGATAATAAGTAGAGGGAGGGGTAGGAAAGCCCATCAAATCATTCATTGCTATACCAACTTATTAATTTCACAGATCCTCGTGTGAGTGAATGGCTTCTTATGACGTCACCATGGCCGTTGCTCTTCATCATAGCGAGTTATCTGACAATAATCAAGGTCATATTACCAACTTACATGAGAAGACGTGAGCCTTTCGACCTGAAGACTGTCATCAAATGGTACAATATTATGCAGATTGTCGCCAATGCTATCGTCACTTGGGGTGTAAGTAATTAAATGAAAAGCACGACAATATAAAAAGATAGAGATGGATATACATGTTACGTCATTAAGTGACCACTCTTATATTATCTACGTCATATCTGACCGGTTCCAAACAAGATATTTTGCTGATATAGAATATTTTTAGCAATGACCTTTAGCATGGCTATATTAAAGTAAAACGTGTAAAATATTTTACTAGTAGACTCCTGGGATGTAATTTCAAATTGAAAATGTCTAAATAAAATCCGTACATAGGAAAATCTATAGCTCATTAGTAGTAGTAGTAGTAGTAGTGTGTGTTTGTTCTAGATAATGACATCAGGCTGGACGACAACCTATCACTTCGGTTGTGTGCTTCCCGATTACTCAATGAATCCTGAAGCCTTGAGAATGCTTAGGTACATGTGGTGGACTGTCATACTGAAGCTGATGGAGTTACTGGAAACTATGTTCTTCCTGCTCAGGAAGAAGGAGCGCCAGGCTTCCTTCCTTCATATTTACCATCATGTCAGTACTCTGATCATGATATGGGCGGGAACGAAGTATGTTGGAGGTAAGACATTTTTTATATCGTAAGCAAACGAGCATGCGGCCATCTGAATTCTACAAAATATAATAGCTAAGCGTACGATACCCATAGACAATTTCGATTTCCTTTCCTTATAAGAAAAATTCCCATTCCCATCCGGAAGGGAAAGAGGACTTAAATTAGGCCTCCTGCACATACAATCATCAGACAACACGGAATTGCTTCCACTTGACGCCTGTCTTTTGTGTGGTCTTCGTATTGCGACAGAAGGGCCGTGCCGGTTGTTGCTGGTGTTCACGGTTGAATTAATACAATCTATTTAAAGTTGCTTTTACTCTAGCCGCTAGCATATTTAAAGCATCGGCATCGCTATAAACATCAACATAATTTGCAATAATATCGCACGGCATAGCAGCAACAATGTTAGGGTGTATATGGCGCCTCACGCAATCCGCGAATAAACGGCAAGTCTGTAGCCCCAGCCTAATTACAAACATATCTCGCCGTCGCATCAGCAAACACGAATTTTGCTATTTTTTGCAATTTTATGAGCTATGTTTCTAAATATAAAAGTATGTTGCTACAAACATGAGGTAGATCAAAGAATTGAAGGGCTTCTGTAAAAGAGAATATGTGTCAGAGAAAAGAAAAACAATATAGAGCTAGGAATCCTTAGCGAAGATGGGCCAAATTACTTTTATATACCCAAATCTTATTATACCCATTTATTAATATACCCAAATCTTTGATTCATTGTGAATTTTCACTAAAGAAAGGCTTGTTTAAAAATATATCATCGTCATTCTAATTTTCTTTGATATAAATCATCATCATCAGCTCACTATACGTCCCCACCGAGGGGCTCGGAGCCTACCCTAAGTTAAGGGTGATTGGGCCATAGTCAACTACGCTGGCCAATTGCGGTTTGGTAGAATTCACACATGTACAGGTTGCATCACGATGATTTCCCTCACCGGTAAGAACGTCAGATATATGTACATATGTAAATCGGGAAAAGAAAAAACACATTGGAACATGGCGGGATTCGGAACCCAGGACCTGCAGATTGCAAGTCAAGTGCTAGACCCCTAAGCCACTAACGCTCCGCTAATATAAATAAAATGACAATATCATTTGCACAATTCTTTCGGCAATGGAAATGTTGTGCAAAAGTTGACGAGGCGATGTTACAAACGTTATGAAACAGAAATATAATCTTCAAACGATTACTTTACGGCCTTACATTAATATAACAATCTATAAAAACGCGGACGTTATTACGTAAGACATTATTAGAGATTTACGGAGATCATTACTGCCTCGATTGATACATCTCGAGGCAATTTACAAAGTTTTGAAATTACTTATCAAGAGTTTCTTTGATAAGTGTTCGTCTTGGCTGGTTAATTCAGGTCACGAAAAACTCCTCAACAATCTTTTAAAAGGCTCCTTTTCTCTTTATCTCTACACTTCTAATCTCACTGTAACATCTGTACTTCATATGCGACGAAAAATGTGTTACAATTTCTCTCTCTCTTTCTTTCTCTTAGGAATTTTATATCTAATCGTTTCAATAATGAGAAATCGATATTTTGAAATTTAAACAATGATATACATTCCTAATCCTTTAACATTTGCATTCCAATTTATACAACGTTGGTTATTGTAATATAAAACTTATTCGAAGGTTACACTTGAAATTCTAACCGCTAAAGTCATATGTAACATAGTTATAAAATTTTATGTTACAATCAGAAATACGTTACTTATTAATAATTTTTAAGATTTCTAAATAAATCAAGTTATTTACGTTATAAAAATATTGCAAGACACGAAACGGTACACCGGTAGACGTAGGCTTAGGAAGAGAGATGGATTTCGTAAAAGGTGACATGACTAAGGAGCTGACAACGGAGATCACGGTAGATAGATTTGAAGGATAGAAACCCAATACTAATACAGAATACACAATGATTGTTAGTTCTAATTCTTTGTCATACTTAAATGATAAAGAAAAAATATATTTCTTAAAAGTGCATTCATCAACAAATGACTAAGATAACATACAAATATTTAATATATCTATAATTAATCATTTAAATATTGTCATCCCTATCGTTTTCTTTGAAAAGACAGAGATAAGAATATGTTTTTGTACAAGCGTTTCAGCAAATACTCTATGTACTCTTACGAAAATAAAAATAAGAAGAAATAAAACTTAATCCCTTAACGAAAGCAAATATTTTTTTCTTTTATAAACGTCTCGTTTCGTAACGACTAACGACCTTGTTTTTTTAATAACGTAAAGCTTTCTCACCGGCTAAGACAAAAGGGAAATGCAAATTCAGGCGCTGCTAAGGTACCTTTTTTATTCGCAATTAGGCTGAGAGGACTCTTTTTCGTGAGGGCTTTTAAAATGAAGTGCAAAGTATTTTCAAGCTTATAAAATCTTTAGGGTGAACTCTGGGTGGGAAATTCTTTTAATAGTTTGATATTGACGTACGTGAACTTAATAATTTATACATTTATTTATAGTGTTTTAAAGTATAAATAAAATATGTAAATTTATTGAACTTTGATCATTGAATGAAATAGCAATTCTCCGTGTTACGTATATTGTATTACTGTTATATTTGTTTGACTTATGTGTGCATAACGGAATTATTTAATCTACTAGCTGTCGCCCGCGACTCCATCCGCGCGGAATAAAAAAAAAGTCATAATTATTAGCCTATTACTTCTTCCAGACTATGTTCTACATCTGTGCCACATTTCATCAAGATTTGTTGAGCTGTTCCGGAGATATCTTCTAAGAAACATCTATCCATTTAAACTTTTGAATTTACAATATTAGTAAGATAGAAAGATTAACAAATTAGAGCTATACAATGGATTAACTTTAAGGCAAGAATAAAAAATTTCAGTCCTATATTTTACAAATTTATTGTCCTTCAGACGGAAAGGTATCTTCGATAAATCGATCAAATTCCGGCCCCAGAATAAGGTTGAGTACAAGACAATCAATAACAGTCAACTTTCTATAGCTTAAAAACAAAGGACAAGGAAAAATTACAAAATTAAATAAAATTTAAAAAGAAAAAAAAAACACTAATTTTTAATTTAAAAAAAATTAACCGACAAACATTTAGGAGAAGAATACGAATAGAGTAACATCTAACTGGTAAAAATCTGTTCATTTGTTTAAGATACAGGGGGTCACAAATTAATGAATACAAATATAACATACATACAGGCGAAAAAATCTTAACCGTGACTCAATCAGGTAACAAAGTTTAGATCAAAATTATTCATTAAACAAAACATAAATCAAGAAATCGCTTTTTATCGTTGCATGCGATCATAAAGAGGCATTTGGGAAGCAGTTTATGCCGGCATTTGCTCTATCGCAATAACGTAACGGCGCCGGTTTTACGACTTCGTTATAAACGCTTTTACTGCGCACGGATTATCGAACGTTATTATAAAAACACAATCTAAAGTCAACCCCAACGAGAAAAAATATGTAAACATTAGAAAATAGAGAAAATACGACAAAAATCGTAGAAAAAAAACACCTTTGCTTAACCTTGGCAAAGAATACAAAATGTTGCATTTGGCAATTCACATATCAATACCTCTCAAGTGTTTGGAAAACCTTATTTCTAAAAATTCGTAGCAAAAGTTAGTAAACTTTTTTGTAAACCTTTAGTAGAACTTGATAAACTATTGCACAGTGTGCTAATTTTGTGACTAAAAAATCGCATACTTCGGCAACGAATGACAACGGTCATAATATTTTAAAATTACTTCCGTTTCGACTAGAAAAATATTTTTACAAAACATATTGCTATCGTGCTTACTCTCTTTGGAGAAAGTAAGCATTGTCATTGTTCAAGTGTTTAGGCACTTAGTTGGATTAAAAAAAGTTACATATTAAATAAGAAATATCCGTAGCGTGCATTTAAAAGGCTTTCATTGTGTAACATGTAATGTCAAGGTCTGAATCACATTTTATAGATGCGACCTTAAAACTATTCGTAACATTATCTTTTTTCTTAAATTTAGCCGAAACATATATATATGTTTTATTAAAGAAAATGAAAGGAATACAAATATGTTTCTGTACAGGTTTTTCAGCGATGTAAACAAACGCATGTATCGCTTTTAAAACTAGCTAACGACTCCGTCCGCGTCGTATTTAAAAACTTAATAAGTAGTCTATGAGTTCTTCCAGACTATGTTCTACATCTATGCCAAATTCCATCAAGATCCGCTCAGCCGTTCTAGAGATACCTTCTAACAAACATCCATCCATCTATCTCAACTTTCGCATTAATAATATTCGTTAGAAGTGAGATAAAGCTTCCGATAACAGAGTTAATAATAATAAAGTATTAACCTGATTGAAATGAAATTAAATAAAAGTGCATTATTATTTAGTTAACAATCGATTAAAACATCGATACACATCATCTGATTGTGTATCGATGTTTCAATCAATTTAAATAATCGATTGAAACATCGTAATCGATAGTTCAAATATAAATGTAAATATTTATAGCAATCTTTCAACAGCTATTAAAATCGATTATTGATAGTTCAAGCACATTAAACATACATTATCGTTGAATCAAACATAATAAATGCTGTAATGTTTATTAATAGCAATATAGATTTGTATCTTGTGACTCTGATATTAAGATTTCATCAAGATTTTAAAGTCAAAATATAGTTATTCATCATCATCATGAGCTCACTATACGTCCCCACCAAGGGGCTCGGAGCCTACCCTAAGTTAGAGGTGACTAGGCCATAGTCAACCACGCTGGCCAAGTGACTTGACTTCACACATATCTTAGAATTAATTCTCAGATATGTGCAGATATGTATAGTTATTGACACATAACATTTATATATATCGTAAAATAGCAGTAGTTAAATAAATTATGTGTAAGTAAAAATTGCAATTGCTTGTTTCAAAATATGCTTTCGTACTATTTGATGGGTAAAAAAACAGGTCGAGAGTGTTCATAACATCCATTAAGCTGTCAAACTATATCTGTATTTTATCACAATGAATTTGTTCGGTTTCAAATCTCACTATTAGTCATGTTATTTACGAAACATCAGATGAGCAAATATTTTTTTATAATTCCTTGTTTTAACATGAAGTAGAATTTATACTTATAATGTTTCGTGAGTTTCCTAAAGTTTGAGTTTCAAACTTATCCGCATACCAAAATACAAGCTTGTTCTTTCTTTTATAACAATTAAAAAAAATCTAACAGTATTTTATACAGATATTATAAGTGTACTTTATGGAGAACAGTTTACAGCTCACATGTAAATCAGATCAGTAAACAGGCTTACAGCTCCGCTAAATTAGTAACTACATAGTTATGATTTGCATTTCCAGCTGCAAACTGCTAGTCATCAGGCAGCTTGCGGCTCACATAGTTATTTAATTATTGAACTGCAGCACAAAGATTCAATTTTATAATACTATATACTACCGCAGAGCTGAGTTACATATGAGTAGTGACATCAATTGCAAGTTATTTATTGCCCTGACATGACATGAATTTTCTTTTTTCAGGTGGAATAACATCATTCTCACCTATGATCAACAATGCAGTACATGTCATAATGTATAGTTACTACTTGCTCTCGGCAGAAGGAAGCCCTTCAGTGAAAGCTTACTTGATTAAATACAAGAAATGGATCACCATCATGCAAATGGTATGTTTATGTTACAAAGAATCTGCACTTCAGATAAAGTAAGATTTGGTTAACAATATTGGTAATTAAATAATAGATTTTATATAATATATAGTTGGTAAATGAGTAAGCAGCGGCTTAAATAAGAAGCTGCATTGCCATTAATCAACAGAGAGGATGCACAGAAAAAGGATATTTTCTATTCAAATGCACCCACTCTTCTGGCAAATCCCCTTCTCACCCTTTTCTTTTAAGGAAAGGAGAACAAAATCAGGCCTTTGGCATATCTATTATCTAAAATGTTTCAAATAGACAATATATTTACAATTTTTAATGCGCTTTTGCAATGACATACCATAAATACTTTTTACTTAAATAACTGCCAAATAAAACAAAAAAATGCTGCGTGATCTGACAATTAATTTAAAAATTAATTTTATTTCAGGTTCAATTTACAATAATGTTAGTTTATAGTGCTCAAGTATTCCTGCCCAGTTGTCCTGCATCTCTTGGCGTTACTGTCATCTACTTTCCCAATGTTATATTTGTTTACTATATGTTTTATAATTTTTTCAAACACAATTACACAAAAAATAAGCAAAATGGTTGTAAGTAAATAAGATATCAATTTATTTTAACAAAAATACGTTGTTTTAATCCATGTTAGATTTTTCATAATATCTTCCAGTGGCTTTCGTAATGTTATAATAGTGAATAGAATAGATCCTATTATATTTGTAATTTTATTAAAAGATTTTGTAAAGATTGTACTATTGTGATGAGATGTGTATTCCTATTTATATAAAAACCTTTTAGAACCTACCAGAATCATAAAAAGAAAGTTAAATGTTCTCATATTTATTTACTAATAATTTGAATTTAGTTAGGATCGCATTGAGTATGTTTTAAAATTATCGCACCCTTAATTACATTGGATATTTAAACTTTGTCTTTTGTTCGATGATATGAAATAAATTATCATAAATTAAACAGATATAACCTAATAAATATTATTTACTTTTCGTGTTAAATTTAATCGGTGAAAATAACTTTCTGACGCTAAAACGACAAGAAACGTCACTTACCGTGTAATAAGACAGGAGCCCAGCATTCTCGTCCAAAACAAACCACCGGTACTGCCATCCTTTCATAACATTTGTCCATTTGCTCAATGAACCTTCCATCATGATTGTATAACTTAAAAACAATTATCAAAAAACATTAAAAAATAATTACAGCAAATATTAACTGCGGCAGCAACACAATGCCATAAATAATCCATATGTTTGACATTAGTGCAAATCTTTGCCTGTTGCTAAAATCAGATGATGTTGTCACATTTCAAACATATCAAAATATTTTGTAAAGTAAAACGAATTTTGTTTCTTCTTAATTTATTTACAGTCATATAAAAATATGTTTTATTTTTTAATAATAATCAGAATAGTCGAAAATAAAAGTCACGGTTGTTTTGTATTGTATTTTATTTTGTAGCGCCATCTAGTAGAGGAAACTTAAAAATGCGTTTTAGCAACAATTTCATTGATTATAGCTACACATGTTGCATTTTTATGAAGTTTGCTATAAAATATTTTTAGTCCCTATATTTTATGGTTACGTGATAACTCCGAAGGGATTTCGCTTTTGTAAACATTATGTATTGCTATGTATTACACTTTTATTATGCAAAGATCTGTATCATGGCTGTGGGTTTTAAATTTGTTTAATTCTTAACAAGGTTTTTCCCTCGACTTCGTCTGCGCAGTATTTAAAAAGTGAAACGTGTTTCATGTGTTCTTTCAGACTGTGTTCAACATCGAGATCCATGCAGCCATTCTGGAGATACCTTCTAACAAATATCCATCCATCAATCCTTACATACATCCAAACATTTGCATTTATAACATTAGTTAGACAGTGAAGAATTTATATTGACAGGAATGGTACAAAAAAAAACAAAATTAAAAAAAATATTTTATATTATACAACCCGATTATCACTTTCATACAAAACGTAACGACTATTTAACATCACGTCGTTTTAATTTAGCAACACTAACACTATACTATTTACAAACTTCAAATCAAACGGTTTTTATTCTCTTCTTAATGATCTGCCGAGCTTTGTTTTACTGTAGCCTGAGGATATTGATACTCTACTGTCTTCCTGGTCTAATCTTATACCTGATAAATCTACAAATAATGGCACGTTCTCTGAACCTTCAGCTATGGGATCTTTTTCTTTGTCGAAGTTTTCCGGCGTCCCTTCACCTTCGATGGCCAGTTTTTCAATGTCTTTACTCAATGAATTGTTTTCTGCTGCTTCGACGAAAGCGTTTGACAGTTCCCCGCTTAGTTTGCTAACGTTGCCCGATGATATGTCATACATAAATATTTCTTTGTCTTCAGCTGGTTCGTCGTTCCTGTAAAAGATAAAATATATTTAAAAATAGTTGGTGTACAGAATGAAAAGGGAAAATACAAATGAAATAGGTTACGAAATCTCGCTATCGCGTTTACTTAAACTTATTATTATTTTACTTAAAAGCTAATCAGTAGAGCTATACTTTTTGGAAGTTCAATAGAAGTTTTAGTTATAAATATTCATAAGTTTCACCAGATACTTACTCTGTAACAAGAAGAATAACAGACTGTTGATCTGTTGCTGTTTTCTTTTCAATATCGAGCCACTTGTTGAAGTTATCTGTTGTCGGTTTCTTTAGCAAATCATGCAAACTGTCACCGGCAATGAATTTGATTCCTTTCAAGCTGTTAGTTGTCGCTCGTTCCGCTCTGCTATGTTCATTATTTAATTCTTCTGTTTGCACTGGCGCTAATACAACAACTGATGTTATCTTTCTGCCTTTCAATATATCGGGTACAGGAAATTGATTACCTTTCACTTTTAAAGGCAAATATCTGTTATATTTCTTATCATTAAGAGCCACTGGATCTACTTGAGTAGCATCTTCCTTCACATAATCTTTTGCTATATTTTGACCTTCTGGTGTATTGGGATCGAATTGTACCACTTTCATTTCGACAGCTTGAGGTGAATCAGACGGTGGAGTGACGTATGTCGCCATATTTTCTGATGCAGCAATATCCTGATCATCTTCGTCAAAGTTTTCATCAATTCTTGATTCAATTTGATCACCGTTGGGTTTCACAACGACAGGATTGTGCTCGCTCGACGCAATTTGTTGGCCACCTCCAGCGCTGAAGAAGTTCGCTAATTGATCTGGGGGAAGAGATTCTAAAGGCGTTTCTCCCACTTTGTCGTAATCTAAGACGCTTATATCGGCATTATCTAAGATTCCGGAAGACAGTAATTGTTGACGGAGGTCATCCGGTACTTCATCTGGAAGTTCTATAGTTGGCTTCTTCTTTTTCTCTTCTTTTTTCGGCTCGGGAGTTGATGGTAAGGAATTCGCAGTTGAAGAAACATACTTTTGGGTCGTTGGCTTAATTTCAACAGTTCTCGAAGTTGATTGGTAGAAAGGAGCTTGGGTACTAGATACAAAAGACTGCTGTGCTCTTGATCTTTCTTGTTGATCAAAATTGTATTGATTATATTGATTTTGTTCATATTGTTGCTGTGTTTGTTGCTGTTGTTGTTGTTGTTGGTGTACTTGTTGATTATACAGTAGTTGTCCTTGTAGTCGTTGAATTTCTTCTTGTTGTTTACGAACATTTTGTGCTAATTGTTGCCTTACTTGTGCTTGCTCAGCGTCAAAGGCTTGCTGTTGCTGTTGTTGCTGCTTTTCTTGTTCTTCTTTATGTTTTTGTTCTTGTTGTTGTTGTTGTTGTTGGTGTTGTACTTGTTGCTGTTGTTGATAATACTGTTGTTGTGGAGTAATGGATGTTGGAGTGGGTTGATTATTGTTATTCAAGCCATTAAAGTTATTTCGAGAATCACTTCCATCGACTGTTATGTGTTGCTCATATTTAGATATGGAAGGTACGAGCTCACCGTCTTTTGGAACAAACTGACCAATGTTTTGTTGGTGGTCAAGATTTGATTGACTTTGGAAAATTGTTTGATGTCCCGAGGGAGGCCTCTCTGTTTGAGTTTGCGATTGTTGGTAATTATTTAACGGTTGCTGATGAAAACTGTGTTGACTGGGTGTTGGTGATGGTTGAGGGTGGAAGCTAAACAAAGGAGGAGATGATGGCTGAGGAAGGAATTGACTGTGGGGAATAGAGGATGAAGACGGAGAAATATGACTTGAAAATGAACTATGTTGTGTTGGTGATTGAAGAGTTGGTCTAGCTACTGGCTGAGCTCCTTGATGAAAACTGAATTGTTGATTTTGCTGAGACTGGAAAGGAACTCGATTATTATCAATATGAGGAGGAGACGGTTTTAAATTAAAGAAGGGCGGTCTACTAGGAGTAATAGAAAATGAAGGATTACTTAAACCAGAGTCGAAATGTTGAGATGGCCTTTGCTGGGTGGGTGGTTGTTGATTGTAAGGAATCAATTGAGGTCTACTTTCTGGGAAGTGCGCAGAAGAAGTACTTGGACTTGGCTTTGGATTAAAGGTTTGCGCTTGCCTACTCGGTAGCAGTTGAACTTTAGGTGGCTCTACTTGTTCCGTTGTAATGGTATGATAATTTTCTTGTAAATATTTCGGCTCATCGAAATATGTTTGTGGTTGTGCTTGCTGTTGATGGAAAGGTCTTTGAGGCCCAGAATGGAATGGTGTCCTTGTCGGACCACCGAAATGTGGTCTTGAAGCGAACGAGGGTGGGCTGCTTGGCCGAGCGTGAAAAGAAGGTTGATTGCTGGGCCTTGAAAAAGTCGTAGGGAAGACGGGACCGATAGGACCGGGAACAGTTGGAGCAACGTTGGCAAAGTGAGAACTAGGAGAAGCACTAGGAAAACCTGAATATGAACTTGCCGAAGGAGATGGAGCAAATGAACTTTGCCTGGTTGTGTGGGGCTGGGCCCTAAATGGCGCAACCGATGGCCCTTGCCGTGGCAATTGATAGTCATTAGATAAGAAACTTTGTTGGAACTGAACGCGACTTTGGGCATGTTGCGAAGCGGACCTGTAAGTTTGTGAAGAATGATCTGATAAAGGACTAGAGTGGGAGATAGATCGACTTCCGGAGTCATGGTACTGAGATTGCGGGGACCCGGAATGTTGATAGGTTTGTGCACTCGGATGGGCATTTGGTAAAGCAATTGCTGGCCTCGGAGCAGTTTCCTCGTGATGCTCGTGTGGTCCAGTTTCTTCGCGACTGCTGTAATGATGGTTTTCGTTACCAAAAGTTACCTTAACACTGCTATCACTATGATATACTTCGGATTCTGGTTTTATGATAGCTCTCAAAGTAGTCGTTTGTGTCGGTATGTACAAAGGTTCAGGAGTGACTGTTATATAATCATCATGACTATCATCTTCATCGTTCGAAGGCGGAGTGATGGCTGGGATAGGCTTTTCATAAACTACTTTATCGTCGGAGTGTGGGTCCTTGCTGTATTTAACGTAAAACACTTGAACGGGTTCCTTCTTCTTCTTCAGTATGGGCTGAGGTGGCGGTGCTGGCAGGGATTCATTGGACTCCTTGATGATGATTTCGATGATAGGTTCCGGTGCTTCTATATAATGAGGATGGGGCTCGTAGCTGTAGAGCGGAGCGGTTGGCAGCGCTCCGTAAGGCGGACCAAATGATCCCTCAGAGGATTGGTCGTGAATGTTAAGAATTTTCGGTTGTGCATGTATTTCGTTCTTGTTCCCAACTGCATCGTCTAGATTACTAAGGTTCGGGTCGTATAGCGGATCTTTTTGTGAGTATTGAACGACGGGTTCCATTTGCACCGCGTACGGCGGAAGCTTTCCTCTGGGTACATTTGAAATTCTTCTGTTACTTGAAGTTGAGCGGAAATGTGTAACTCTGGAGTGTGGGAGCACCAAAGAGTACTGTAGATTTTGAGGAGTTCGTATGTTTTCGAGTTGTCGTTTCGGTTTTGTTTTCGCTGTCGAGTTTTTGGCACAAGTCACGCTGAGCACAGCCAAGGCTGTAACCTGGAACAAGATATAACATAAAGTTAAAAATTGAGATATAGATTTTTGTAACTTTTAAATTAAAGACTGCAGGTCCTGGGTTCGAATCCCGCCATGTACCAATGCGTTTTTCGATTTCCGATTTACATATGTACATCTGTCCGACGTTCTTATGGTGAAGGAAAACATCGTGATGCAACCTGCACATATCTGAGACGAAATTCGAAGATACATATGTGTGAAGTCAACCAACCCTCACAGGGTCAGCGTGGTTGACTATGGCCTAGTCATCCCTAACTTAGTGTAGGCTCCGAGCCCCTCGGTGGAGACGTATAGTGAGCTGATGATGATGAACTTTAAAATTATTAAAAGCTTAAGAAGATTTTGTTGTAATTAAGTAAAAATAAGTAATGTTTTGAGACCCATGTCCAGTAAAAATGTATAACGTTTCCTTATAGGAATATTACATTTTAAAACATAATTCCTTTGTCGGCGAGTAGCAATGGGCGTGCGTAAGGGACGTCAGTATGGACGACCGTAATGTATCAGTCGACCTCGTACCGTCACATTTCGAGGAACACGTAACGAATACTGCAGGTGTGTTTAAGGAGAAAGTGATTTAATGTGGAAAGCTTTATTGTCGGTTAATGTTCATGCACTTTGGGGACATAAATGTTTGGTCCAAGTGATAAGTTCAGTCAACTTTTGAATAATTATTGTCTTGTAATTATGTAATTGATCTGTCAAATTTAAATCATAAAGAGGGAATTTACATTGTTTATTTTTAGAACAAAAAGCTGGTAATAAAATTGGATTTAATACGTCTAAGAATAAATACAACCCTAATTTAATAAAATCGTCTACATAAATAATACTTTGTTTATATTATAATATATTAAATTATCTATTAGTATATAAAAACTCAGTCTTTAAGTTGTAAAAACAAACAATTTTTAAATTGTATATGTTTGATGAAAGTATTTCGTTTTTACATAAAAAAAACGCTTTGAACTTCTCACTTAAATCGTCAATTTAAGGAAGTTTCTTTCGGGCGGGCCAGTCCGACTGCATTCCGATGAGACCAAAAGTAACACGACTTTTGAACGCTAGGAAGCATTTCTTTACCAATGCATTATCGATGCATCACAGATTATAAACACATATATCACAGAGAATAATAATTTTCTCTACTGTTTATAGCTTATTTTAATAGTTAAAATATTTATAATAATAATAATTGTCAATAAATATGGAAATATTAATATTTAGAAAATGTCCAAATGCTTATTTATACTAATACTAGCTGTCGTCTGCGACTCCGTCCGTGGGGAATTAAAAAACTTAATCAGTGTTCTTCCGGAGTGTGCTCTACATATATGCCAAATTTCAGCGAGATATATGCACCCGTTCTGGAGGTACCTTCTAAAAACATCTGTCCATAAAAACTTTCGCGTTTATTCTATTAGTTACATAAAGATTTTATTGTTTGCATTAAATAGGCTCGGAAACTACTTAACTAATTTATTTTTAATTAAACGTGAACGAAGTTGTGGGCAACTGCTAGTATTAAAACAAAAAATTTTAAATTTGAGAGACAAAATTATTCTACAATAGAAACTATGCACATTGCGTCACGCGAAACATCTCGTGAATGTTCAAATTCGAATTAGTGCATAATTTGCGAGATGCATTAAAATGGTTACGAAATCCGAATGGCCACTGAATAACCACTTTAATACTGTTATGAAACTGTCAAAAGTAAAAGTCATGTCTGCATTCGTTTTGGATAATCAACTGTGTGAATTTTAAGTAGGTTTTAACCTTATATTCATTGGTAGCTTGGTTAAGGTTTCTTCTAAACTTATGATGATAATATCATTTAAACGTTAATAAAATAACTAAACCTGACTGACTGTACGACACTTCGAGGAAAAATACGAGTACTAAACGAATTGTTTAAGATACAAGAAGACATTGAAAACATTGCTCACTGTACGATCCCACTGATGCGCTCGGAGCCTACTCTAAAGAGGTGACTAGACCATAGTCAATCACGCTAGCCCACTGCGGGTTGGTTGACTTCACACTACTTTTTCTGACACTTTGTAATGAAAGCGCGCCAGTTTAGCCACAGGATTCTAATTAATAATATCTAAAAAACATACATATATATTAAACTAACATTATAATTTATACTTTAAATAAAATAATTATTAAAGACGCTAATTAAAAAGCAAAAGTTCCAAGTTTATTTTCTCACAGCGTTATTTTTTAATTAAACAGAGAAATGAAATTTTCACTACATTATCTCAAGTCAGTTATCGAATAATGTGAGAATTTATACCGGTATTCTATTATGCTAAGATTATCTGTGATAATTTGCATGGAAGATTGAAACAATGATATTTTTGACAGCAATTTTCATACTCAAAAAGATACGAGTACGGGTACGAGTACGAGTACGGGTACGAGTACGTATCATAAAATATGTAAATAGTTTGAATGTAAAGCTTAACAAATAATTGGTTACAACTATTTATTTTTTAATTTAAACGAAGGGAATACAATTTAATAGATTATGTTTTGACCTTGACGCAACATTGACTTTGGTACTTTGCGCCATTTGGTATGATTAAAAAGAAATGTCAGATATTACTGACAGGATTAAAGACAAACACTAGAAATAAAACTTGAGACAAATTGAAAAATCTCTTCCCGTTTTTAAGTCTGTTATTTGCAAATTTTTTATATTTTTATTTAATAATAAATTGTACTTTGTATTAAAAAGGAATGTCATATTTTAATGATAAAACTATCATTAAACCGTGGATTTCTGAGACCAAAATCCCCGTTTTAATCTTATTGTTGTCTCTGTATTGTAAACAATAATGACAGAGTCTCAGCAACCCACGGTAAGTGATGTAACATTACAGTCACATTATTGAAAAGTGAAATTATTGTCACTAATATGTAAAATTATTCAACATTCTAAATGAATATTCAAATGATAAATATAGATTTGCCACTCAGTACATGATTTGATTTAATTCAGTTACGTAAATAAACTGATTTATACAAGCTGGTTTTACAAAACAACAATCATGCATCAACATCTATTAATATTATAATTACAATAATAATAGTATAATTAAGCATGGGTCCCGGAGGCATAATTTAGTCCTCTTTCCTTTCTCACCATTTTCCTTATAAAGTAGGATGAGAAGTGGAAGTGGACTTTCCGGATGAGAGGAAGCATGGAAAGGGAAAATATTTTCTTTCTGTGCATCCTCTCCTCCGTCGATTAAAGGTAGGCAACGCATATGCAATTGCGTATGTCTATGGGCAACGGTCACTTCGCTATTTCAGCGACTTCAGGTGGCCGCTCGCTCGTTTGCCATCTTATGATATTAAAAAAAAGCAGTAAAAATCTTTTTTATACGGAGAAGGTGGAAATGGTTTTTTACTAGTGTAATCTTACTGCCTAGTAACTCTACTAATATTGTAAACGCGAATAATTGGATGTATGGATGGTAGTTTGTTAAAAAGTATCTGCAGAACGGCTTAACAGATTTGGATGTAATTTGGTACAGACATAGTCCATAGTTTGGAAGAATACATAGGCTGCTAATTAAGATTTCTTTAATTCGTTTTTTCCCGACATAACACTTTGTAAATATCTGTTTGCAATTACCTTTATTTATTATTTATTTGGGTTGCAAATGATTGATTTAATTTGTCGAAATTTATTGAAAAATGTAACTGCTTTCTTACTAATTATTGCCGTATATTTTTAAATAGCTGTCAAAACATTAATAAGTAGCCTGTGCACTTCCAGATTATTCCATATCTGTGCCAAATTCAAGATTTGTTGAGCAGCTCCGAAGATACCATCTAACAAACATCCATCCATCGATCCAACTAAACATTCGCATTTATAATATTAGTAAGATATAAGATTTCAATAAAATATTAAATTAAAATATCTAAATTAAAAGTTCGAAGTGGTCAGGTCAACTGTTTCAAAAATTCTGACTATGTAATACGTAATATTTATTGCCGGAAGACAAAGAAAATAACTAAATATATATATCATGTTTCCTTCACGAGATGTATGTCACGGTTTAATTTACTTTTGAAAGTAAAAGCCTAAAGTAAAGTAAATAATCCAGCAAGGTCAAAAAATTTTGTAACGGCAATAACAAAGGATAGATTTTAATAACATGGTAAATAGGTTTGATTTCGAAAATAAGTTTTGATGGAAATTTTTTATCTACACATATAATAAAATTGGAGTGTCTGTATATAATATTGAAAAAACAAATGTCAAATTTCGTACATATTATGGATGATATATAAAATTAATTTTTTGGTCGGTTCGTCTGTGGGTCCGTCTGTATATCTCGGACTCTGTCGGTAGAGCTAATTCATGCATATATAGTCTTCTTTTTTTAATTAGGCGACTAGTTTTTAATATGACATAATACTATAATTATATTTTTATTACATTTAAAGCCACACCATTAAAAACACATCAATTAAAAAAAGTCACGCCAAAACAACACATCAAATTATGTAATACGTTACATAACACTGTGAGATTGAGGTAAACAGTACTACATAACCATGTAATGTAATGCTTGTTTTATTAGTTTTATTACGACGATTAACAACATTCATAATCACATCCCATCTACAAATGTTTATCATTAAGAGAACACGTTTGAATTTACATGCGTTCAAAATAACGTAATAATACAATAATATTTATTAATTCGTTTGAAAAAAGAAAGTTACATGATTAATGAGTAATTAAATTCATGCATATTTTTCGGACAGCTTACGTACCGGAACACGTAGTTATTTGTTGTAATTTAATGAATTATCTTATCAGATTAATCATTACTACTGCCTACTATCAAGGATTGCAACGATATCTAAATACGACCATTTATAAAATCGCGTGTTTCCACGGTCGATAAACATGTATAATAACATCTCTTTCTTTCCATAGAGAATTAGAG